GCCGGGCAGGCACATGCCCTGGCATTCTTCACCATTGGCCCTGGCATCCTGCAAATATGGCCTCCACTGGTATCTAGGCAGAGGACGCCACCTTTTCGTTGGACTGTCACGTAGTTGCTGGGGTTTTGAGGGGATGAAAAGTATTGAATACTAGGGGCTAGGAGCGGCATCTGCCAAGAGGAGGAAGGGATTTTTCAGTTCTTCCCATCAACCAAGCAAGGGAGGCAGGACCATGAGACTTGGGAGGGAGGTAGCACGAGGTCCATCCAGTATCACAGATGTCACAGCCCACTTCTTGCAGAGGACCTCCTGCAGAGCAAGTTCTGACTGGGGCTTTGCCTGAGCCCCATCCAGGCCCTGTAACCTCCCTGGTGACCCTGTGACTTTCTGGCACCTATGACTCTCTTCCACTTTCTGGCTCTGGGGACCTCCTGCATCCCCCAACAACCTCTAACCCTCCCTCTCCTGCCAGGCCACCTGCCCACTGGACTTCCAAAACTAAACAGAGGGCAGCCTGCCCTGAATTTCATGTCAGAGTTTTCACCCTTGCTTCTTCCTTAAAAGGCAATGCTGGGAGCTGAGCCCGAGGCGCACTCGGGAGAGTGCAGCGCTGGGGGCACAGCAGCGCTCCCGCCGTGGGTTCGGATCCTACATAGGGATGACCGGTCAGCTCACAGCGCTCACTGGCTGAGCGCAGTGCAGCCGGTCTCAAAAAGGACAGAAAAGGGCCGGCCCGGTGGCGCACTGCTATAGTGCGCCGCTTGGGAAGCGCGGCAGCGCTCCCGCCGAGGGTTCGGATCCCACATACAGACTGGTTCCCGCTCACTGGCTGAGCGAGGCACGGGAGCAACGCCGAGGGCTGTGATCCCGTTGCTGGTCCCCGGTCCGGTGCGGGGGCGACACTGAGGGTTGCGATCCGTTGCCGGACACGGAAAAAGACAAAAAAAAAAAGGACAGAAAAGGGCCGGCCCGGTGGCGCACTGCTATAGTGCGCCGCTTGGGAAGCGCGGCAGCGCTCCCGCCGAGGGTTCGGATCCCACATACAGACTGGTTCCCGCTCACTGGCTGAGCGAGGCACGGGAGCAACGCCGAGGGCTGTGATCCCGTTGCTGGTCCCCGGTCCGGTGCGGGGGCGACACTGAGGGTTGCGATCCGTTGCCGGACACGGAAAAAGACAAAAAAAAAAAGGACAGAAAAGAAAAAAAAGGCAATTCTGGGAAGGATATTAGGAACCCTGTATTGTTCTGGACGTGAAGAGGCCGAGATGGCAACCCAGGAACAGTCTCTGGAAGGGAGGAGAGGAGAAGGTTAAGAGGCTTGTCATTGAAGCAATCCAACTTCTAAGTTTAACCAAAGACACTAGACCCAGAGAATAGAAGGCAGCTAGGGCAATTCCCCCCACCCCACCCCTGCCTTTTCTCCCCTCCCCTATTTAATCAACACTTATCATGCACCGGATATGTTCCTCACAGCAACCTTATGCAGGAGGGGCTGCCCTTTCATGCTACAGTGAAGAAACTGAGGCCCAGAGAGGTTAAATCACTTACACAAGGTGGTATACAAGGTGGTGGACATGCAGGAAGGACTCGAACCCAGGACTTCTGACCCCAGTTCCTGCTTCCATCACATCATCAGACCCAGGCAGCACTCATCCAAGTGCTGAGAGGGCAGAAAGTTGGGATTTCAACACTGCACTCTGCAGACTCAGTGTTGGGTCTCACCCTCTCAATAGAACAGGCAGCCTCACACCCCGCCACAGACTAAACAGGGTGCAGAGGAAACATGGCCCCACCAGTTATCCTATGCACTTACGCTAAAAGCCTGCCAGGCACCAGCCTCAACAGATTTCTTCACCAGTGACTTGTTGGACAGCTGGTAGGTACCAGGTGCCATTCTAAGATGCTTGTCCCGACCTCAGGGAGTTTGCAGTCTGGGAAATGGAGACAGAAAAACAGTCGGATGGAAAGCCCTACCATATGTGCTATAATGCGGGTCCCTGGGGGGCGTGGAGAGGCTCAAGTGACCTGGACCTGGGAGGGGTGGTCAGCTGTGCTGCAGGAGTCTTGGGCAGGTTACTTAACTTCTCTCGATCTGTTTCCTCATCCGTAAAATGGGCTCGTTGCTAACTCATAGAGCTTTGGCGAGGATTTGATGAGGAAATGCAAATTGACTGCTTAATGTGGTGCCTAGCGCAGAACTGAGCACTCAGTGAGCTTCAGCTACCTACGTCAGGCCAGTTGGCCCTCCCGAGGGCACAGACCATGTCTGCTCCCACTGCTGCACCCCAGTACCTAGACCAGCACATAGTAGGTGCTCAGAAAGCATTTGCTTAATGAGTGTGTGAGAAAAGGCCCAGGAGGATTAGGAAGAGGCAGGACTACTCCAGCTGTCCTGGAGCTGGCCTGTGGCTTTCGTCCATTCTGGGCCCCTCTCTATCTGTTCATACTCAGGAAGCACCCCTAGTACCCCCCACCCCACCACAGCCTGGGGACCTCCACTCCAGCTGCCAGGTGTCCATCTGCTCACCCACATTCAGAGCCCCCACCTCGCTGCTGTCCCCAGAGGACAGATTTTCTGGCTGGTTGTGAAGCCACTTCCATTGTGTGAGGAAGGTGCCCCTCTGTATCCTGCATCTGTATTTTCTCCCGCTTTTTATATTCAAATGGGATTATGCTGCATCAGAGGTCCCCAACATGGAATGATTTTGCACCTGCCCCCCCCCCCCCCGGGACAATTGACAATGTCTGG